GGGACAGAAGTAGGAGCACAGGCTAAGTGACCATGGGCGCTGCTCCCAGGAGAGGGAAAGCAGCCCTGGAGGGATGTAACTGGAGAGCTCAGAGATGGAGGCGCTGTGACAGCCTCTAGCCTCAGCATTGGGAGGCTCCTTTGCTGCTCTTCACTCTCTGGAAAGCCTTTCCCTTCTCCCTGACCCCACACCACTTCCTCATCTCTGAAATGAGGATAACAACACTTCAGGGAGAGCTGAAGATTCAGTGACGCGTTCCATGTACGGTGTATGCAGCTGTGTACACGTTCGCTATTATTTTTGTGAAAATAGATCCTTTCCTTTCTTTACAGACCTAGTGCAAGTCCCCCGCCCCCCGCCCCCCAACCTTTCTTACTGAGGTCTTATTCCTGCTTCAGATGAAAGAACTCTCCCCACTCTCCCTACTCAGAGTTCTGCAGTGCTCATTTCTGTCATTCTTTAGCATACATTAGGAGCCCTGGTGGTGCAGTGGTTAAGAGTTTGGCTGCTAACCAAAAGGTTGGCAGTTCGAGTCCACCAACAGCTCCTTGGAAACCCTATGGGGCAGTTCTACTCTGTCCTATAGGGTCACTAGAGTCGGAGTCACTTCGTTAGGAACGGAGTTTGGTTTTAGCATACATTCCCTGTTTTGCTCTCTCTTTAGTCAAAAAGGAGCCCTGGTGGCGCAATGGTTAAGGGTTAAGTTCGTGGTTCAAACCCATCAGCTTCTCCGCGGGAGAAAAGACCTTGCAATCTGCTTCTGTAAAGATTACAAAAGTACAAACTAGGAAACTCTACGAGGCAGTTCTACAGGCAGTCATATAGGGTCACTCAGGGTCGCTATGAGTTGGACTCGACGGGATGGTACAGACAACGTTACTCAAGGATTTACGCTTTGCAATATGCGCCTTCGTTCTTCTGATACTTATCTCAACCTGAAACTGAGGTTCAGTTAGGATTATGAGCATGGGGTCATGTCTCTGACCCCATGTGTTTGTTACAGAGCGGAACTGCTCCATAGGGCTTTCCTGGCTGTAATCTTTATGGAAGCCGATC